AAAACCTAGAAATGTGTCTATTAACTGATGTGTCTATTAACTTTCAGGCTTAACTAAAATTGGTTTTTAAACCTTTATACACATGAAATGTTTTACCTTCGGAAAGGTATGAATGGAAACTGTTAAAAAATTACATAAATTATAACTTTTCTGACTATAATATAACTTCATATCATCAGTAGTTCATCATTGTACTATTTCCCGCACATAGGTTTCGCACAACCCTTTGGATGCGATCAAAGAGGCGGGTTGTTGTAAAAACCTGTACCGCGATGAGACCTATTAATAAATGAAACCGAAAGTTGGGCCCCAAAGACCAATGGAAAAAAAGACTAGTAGGCTACAGCTGTGAGAACAGAGATGGAATTAAATGTTGGTTGGGCACATCTCCCTGAGAAAAGTGAGAGAGTTGAACCAAGCTAAAATATAATGTATTGGAGAGAGTTGCAAGTGCTCGTTGAATATAGACCAGGAAAAAAGGACACACAAAGATGACAAGATAAAACGAACGAGGAAATGACACACAAGAACATTAACGACAAACGTCAATGGGGGTGGAAGCTCTTATCCAGACCGTCCTCGTTAGGAAACGTCAGTACAAACTATACGCGAAATAAATATAACCACTCAAGTTATGAAAGCGAAACATGGCAGCTGCATGTTGTCTTAATAATTGTTATATCATAAATATTCATAATCACCTTGACAAAAACTATGTTTAATATAGATCTTTCCTGAACCTAATTAAGATTGACAGTAGAAAAAGGCAACAACTTTATGAATGAAGGATCGTTAAACGAATATATTACAACACATGCATCTATAAAGGATATAATTCTAGACCAACAAATTCCAATTATTGGCACAAATACATGGGCACTGAGTGAAAGCATCCTTTGAGGAGAATTCCACTGCCTTGACTTGTGGCAATTTAATGTGGCTAAATCTACTATTGTTTAAATTGGTTGTCACTGACAACAGTTTAAATTTGTTTTACTTTAATTCGTGAAAAATTGAGCATGATGAGCATCAAGGCGGGTTACTCATCAAAGCAAATATAATTACAAACAATAATTATCGTAATTTGATTAAAAAAATAAAGAGACAATTTAATTTAATGCAGTCATTATGGTACGAAAAGTATGCATAGTTCGTCGTTTTCCATGCAGTTTTGCATGTAATTTTCTTTGTCAAACTTTACGTTGACTTTACGCCACTGCATGTATAACAGAACATTTTCTTAAAACGTTTCCACAATTTTTCACAAATTTAATTTTTGTTATTCAAGTAGAAAATTCTTCGTTTTTATAATTTGTATACCAATTTTACACAGCTGCGGTCCGGTTATGGGCCCATTTAAAAAAACATAAGACCACTAGCCTTTTCATTTGGGGCGGGTTGCACGAATGCCGCATAGCAAATGCCTTTATGAATGCCTTCTACTTAATGAATGCGGACCCCACAATAATATATAGAGACTAATCAAATTTATAAATACTGAATATTAAATTTGGGTTATACCAATTAAGCTTACAAAAATTACCAATCCGCTATATTGAGCTGTCTGACCTTCGCACGACCACATGTATAACCCCGCGAGGACTGTTTATTTTTCCTGCATGGATATCCGAGGCCAGTGTCATATAGAGGAGGGCTTAACTATATTTTATTTACCCGTTTTGCAATTAAAAATAGTAGTTAACTCACTACTAACTTCCCGACGACGGGCCTTAATTCGCTTGAAACGTCGAAATTCTCCTTGTATTTTTCAGGTATAGTTACATCCCTATCAATCCGAAACTCTCAAATTCTCGAATCTGATTAGTTACCTTAAACTACGAGCAACAGCCGGCTCCCAATCGGCACTAAAAGTATAACTGATCTCCACTATTTTTTTTAATTATAAGAACGTTAAATGTGGGAGTCACACAGATATTTATTGAATTATTGTTTTTAATTAGACTGATACCCAGTCTGGTTTATGCATATTCACATGGTTAATTTAGTTTGGACTATAAATAACGCGTATATGTAGTGAACGTTATCCTCGAATTGGCGGTGATATAGGAGTATATAATTGAACTGTATTCAAAAAACAAGGTGGATAACGGTCGATTTTAAATGGATTCCAGGGCGGTTATCAATACAAGCAAAAGCACAGCCATATATCTCAGTGAAACCGCTTCAATTGGAAACAACGGCTGCAGTCAAACAGTTTGTATCACAACTGCCGAACGTGTCATATGGGGTTGTTTCTTAGCCATAATTACCACCGCATCATTGCTTGGCAATTCCGTTGTTATCTACACTGTCTTGAAGAAGAATCAGTTTCGGAACAGAAGATTTGCATTTCTGTTACTTCTGATCATCAGTGACTTTACTACGGCTATTGTGATGATGCCCTTGTACTTTGTGAATTTGCTTCTGGAACATTTTTTTGAAACTTCATATCATATTTGCTTTCTAATGGCAATAATATTCGCATTCATTATTGCGTTGTCCTATCTTTGTATCACTCTTTTGGCTCTAGAAAGGTACATCATGTTAAAATATCCCATTAAACACCGCCGTTGGTTTACCAAGTCTGTGGCAACGGGGATTATTTTGGCTGTAGTATTCATATCCATGCTAAATGTATTCACTTCGATGCTGCGCTCATTACCAGCTGTATACAATGACAAAATGCACATCTGTGTCTTTGACATGCGAGGCAAGACTAAGTTGGAAACACGCATAATGTTATTATTCGATCTGCTTTTTTGGGAACGTTATGGTTTATTGTTCTCGTATATTGTAGTGCAGGCGTTGTGGCTATCATATGGAAAAGAAGGAACTCTTCAACACAAATTAATCCAGAAGTATCAGCAGAATCGTCAACAACTATAAACCGATGCACTCACTCTCTGAAGCAACATTCTCGTGAGATTCGTTCAACTATCCACATTTTATCCGTTGCATTTGTTGCTCTTGGTTGCTGTCTGCCGTCGACGATCGGCTATACTTGCGACCTCTTGGGTTATCATTGGTCTGAGCGAAGCTTAATGGCTACCATGTTTATCTTCTATTGTAAAAGTGTCTTAAATCCATTGATTAATGCTTTTTTCCATACTCAATTACGCCAGTATCTTGTGAAAGTACTGTGTTGTAAATTTCAAATTTAAAGATATTAGTAGAGATGTAATGATATATTGGGGTTAGGGTCTGAGTGACGGTTAGATGTCACTGGTCTTATACAACATACAATATTTAATGAGATTTTTAAATTCGTCAAATCCGGCCTTTACAACTAGAATCATTACGAGTTGAAATTTGTTTTACTATGCATGAAGCACATGTCGTTTGCTATGTAACTTGAAAGATGTACTGTAGCTTGCCACGCTTTTCCTGATAAATTTTAGGACGCTTTAAACGATTAGTGTCAGGGTCATGCATTGCGGGCTTTTGTTATTGTTTACATTTTACTCAAATACAACAAATAGCGATAAAAATACCTTGTTTGGCACATTTCTGATAAAAATTAGACAAAAAGAGCAAGAATTATAAAAGGAAGGTTTAAATATATGACGGATTGTAAAAACTTTCCAGATCATCTAATTTATACGTCCCGAAAAATGGCCGCCAGCAGGAGTTTGAGCCCGCGAATTCCAGGTGTGACACTAATCCTTTAAACACTAGATAATCACTTATATGTTTATGTTTATTATATTATATGGCTTTTCAAAATTCTCTATTCTGATTGGTTCACAAGCGGTCCGTAAAAACCCATATCCGGACCGTGGTCCGTATTTTCCGTATCTGGACCGGTGTCCCGAATGTCGTTTATCTGGCGGGAAAATTTTGCTTTGCAAACAGAAAAAAATTTTGCTTTTTAATTTTCCAATTGTGTGTCATTAAAATTTACAGATAAAAATTTCAAACAACCAAATTGTTTTTGATTGAGCATGCATGCCTACCGTATATTGTTACCCAGTGAAACTGACGATAGCCGATTTAATTCGCGCGAAAAGCATATGCTCACAGACTCAATTCAGCCATATAATAAACCGATTATTGACCTCGCTTGTTCGGTCTGTACTGTGAAATATCAGACCTCTGTTTTTTTGCATGGACATCGCTCCTTCGTAGCTGGGTCCATACTAAAAAACCTCGGTCTGATATTTCACAATACAGACCTCATGCTCGATCAATAAGCCGTTAATATTATGTTTAATATATCATTTACACATTGAATAGCTCCCTTATTAGCGAAGAATAAAATAAGAGAAAAAAAGTATTTTAAAGAGAAGTCACTGCGGGACAATTTCTATCTAGTGTAGACAATATAGATTTTCTGTCCCAGCAATATACCAGAAACAGCAAGGACTTCTTCTGCATGGCATGTCATCAGCAATACGGTAGATTAGTGATTACACTAATATGACCGCCATGCACTATCCAGTTCTAATTTTCAGGTCAGTACCATGAATAGTGTAACGGTTAGTGAGAAATGGACCTTTAACCTTATAACTAAAATTTCGATTTAGACAAAAATTTCATCACAGCTTGAAAGAGCATCACAAAATTAGTAATACCCCAAAGTTTCGTTACGAAATGTTGTAAAATGCGGATAATAATTATAGCCCTGCGAAATTTACAATTTTCAGTAATTTTGTAAATTACAAACGGGAAATTGATACCCCAACACCCGATTGGGGTATCAATTTCCCGTTTGGATTCATTTTTAACCGTGATTTTATATAAATACAAAATTACTGAAAAACGGCAAACTTCGCAGGGCTATATTATCCGCATTTTACAACATATCGTAACGAAACTTTGGATATGATGCTCTTTCAAATATGATGCTCTTTCAAGCTGTGATTTTTGTCTAGATCAAAATTTTAGTTATAAGGTTAATTTAAAGGTTCATTGGTGAGCGCACGACAATCAAGTACACTGGAACATCAGACATGTTTTCGCTCGTTAAAGTCTACACGGTTTATGAGGATGAACGCAATCTGGGAAAAATAACATTCATGGTCCAGGACAATGGAAAACCGCAGAGTCGAATTTTCTTGGCAGAAATTCGTTATATATAGCTACTGTTCATACTGTGCTGTAGCTAGCATACTGTAATACCGTATATGACCTTAGTGCGGCGTTTGACGAATGAATGCGAAACTTTAAATCCCTAATATCCGTCCGGATATCGGAATTATTTTCCAACCGGTACCAGGTCTAATACTGCGCAGCAACCTTGATTGCACAGCTGTTTTGTATATATAAATACCTTTGTCGTAAGCTTGAACCATAGAGGGAAAAGTCTTGCGGAATGGTAAACTCTCGATTATGAGAAGTTCGTTGTCTCTTACTCAATGTCGAGAGCGAGGTTTTCTTTACGGGAAGATTTCGTTGTCGAGGATTTTGAGTAGCTCTGTTCATGCCACGATTTGGTGGAGTTCTCACGACATCAGAGTATACCGTTTGTCCATCGATCGGACACACGTTGTGGTCTCTGGATAGCCAGGAGTCGATACAGACACGATGGAACTGGGCATAGCAGAAATGATAACAAAATATAAACACCACAAATCCTCCTTGGGGGCTTACTGTATTATTTTTTTCAAATGGGGGCTTGTTGGAGAGTTTCCCTGATTGCAAAAACAGAATGAAAACATTCCAACACCAACTAGGAGAATTACTAAATCTATTTTTGTGAAAGCGGGAGGGACGATTTGTCCTGTGAACGGGGAGGGGTGTCTCATTATTATATTTAATATTTTATCATAAGTGAGGAAAAACATGGAATAGTGTAGAAGTGGAAGAATATTATAAATGAATTGGATTAAATCGTTTGTTTTTCTCAGCAAAACACAATTCGTTCAACTCACTGGGAAAAAATGTGAAATCCATACTATGAGATTTGCAATTGCACCACTAAATCCATAGTATATCCATACTATTTCGATACTATATCCATAGTATGGAAATATACAATTATTATGGTTAATCAAAAATCCATTCTATTTCCAATAAAGTTCCATACAATTTTCATTCTATGGATTTTCAAAATTCTTTCCAGTGACTGAAAACAACCTTTTAGTGTCCCATGACCCTGCACCCGGGAATTAAATCATTGTCTCCCTTAACGTATGTAGGAGTGCTGGGAATACTGAGCTGTCGAAATGTCCGATCAAAACATTCAGAAATATGCATGTACTATCAAACCATAAAAACATACTCCATTGCACAAACCTCGTGGTTACACGGTAGTCTGCGTACCACCTGCGAAGATCTATAACTACACAGACATACACCACACTGTTCATTGGCATTCACAATCAATCTGTGATTATCATCTGCCAGTGTTTCTGTGGGAAATGAATTAAGTACATGTCCTGGAACACTGCATTGGCTCACTGAAGAACTATATTTAAAACAAGAAAGAGTAACTGTTGTAGCTTAGAAAGCAGCAATTGGACTTGTCATCTAGCATAATTGAAACTCGGGCGAGAACAAGCTAAGGGTTATGTTTGTGACGACAAAGCAGTGAACATAGGTACAGATTTTATGGTGTCAGAAGATGTCAAAATTATCTATCAAGTAATTTGTATCCGTTGATCACAACTCTTTTAGTATTAGGTATGTACATGTATTAGTAATAACTATTATGACTTTTGGTTAGAGTTGCGGCAAGTATAACGGCATGGTTATGTAGCCTTATCAGGCAATGACGTCTTCGATACATGTATATAAGTGCAACTCACTATTGAAAAAACTCTACTTTCTTTAAAAGGAATTACCAGGCAATTAATGGTGGTGCAAAAAGCGAGCTAGGTATATGTATTCGCCTTAGGAAATAAGTAATTAAAGCTGTATTTTTCGCTTAGATCAACGTCTTACCCATCTAACTGCAGCAATAAATTGTAGTCTTGTTCAGTAATTTCTCTCCTCTCCAGGTTGTTTGCCACGGCCGATGGAATGGCTTCGAACTTAGATGCTGGACGCCAACGTTGATTCGGTTTCTATACAAAGAGGAATCCAGCAAACAGTATAAGACAATTATTGAGCATTGTAATGCATTACCTGTCCTTGGTTGGCAAAGATTATCATCCATGCAGCCAATTAGGTGAATGCTAGCAGTCGCTTGTTTTTTCTGCAAAACTTCTAAAGTCCAACAAAAATTCAGTCTCATAAAAGTCCAAGATTCCGTCCAAGCATTTTCGGAAGTCTAAATGCCTCGTAGCCTTTGTTAGTGTAATTTGCGCCTCATGACCGGTTTTGGTAAAACATATGCTACAGAAGATTTAAATTAAATGTACTTGGGCATACCTGTCTGAAATGAAATGTGTGCTGAGGATGTGGATTTAATGAGAAACAATCTTTACAAAGCTGGTAGTTGGAACAAATTGTGCATCTATACAACGAAAACATGTATATCTACATCAATTTGTAATAAAATAAGCAAACATATCAACAAACAATTCAAACAAACAATTGAAACAAACAAACAAACAAACAAACAAACAAACAAACAAACAAACAAACAAACAAACAAACAAACAAACAAACAAACGATTAAATCGATTGCCTGAAATCAAGAAGCACATCGAGAAAGATATTTTAAGATGTATCCTATTTTAACTAATCTAACATACACAAAAACGAGCCGCTATAGCCAAAATGACGTACTTTCTTAAAAGGGTGTTGATTGACACGAGCCAGAGCCTCGTGGTAACTGAGGTCAATGGTTTGATTTTCGTGAGGGAGGTAAACCGCAGAAAAACTTAGATGGGTTTTCAAGCAGAGAGAAATTTTAACTTAACCCAAGAAATTTCCGTAACCACGACCTACTAAAGTAGCAGTCGGCGGTAAAGGTCAGCGCGCTATCCGCACCCGTATGCCCTATAGAAAGGTTAGTCATTTTTGTGGTTTAATAGCTTTAAGCTGCTTTGTGATCATTCAATCTCTATTTCAAATCAAACTGATAAGTTCATCATGCACTGCTTGGTTTTCTTACAGCTTTCTGTAGTAAACAAAACTATACAAGACTACGAAATAAACAATGCTTACTTGAAATATTGTAAAGGTATAATGTACCTGAAACATTTCCCCGTGATTGGTGAAACTCCGCAATGAGCACAAACAGCTCCAATATGGACATCATATCTTTGTTTGTTCTTTACGGAACGTAAATAGTCACTTTTTATCGTCTATAGAAATCAAAAAGGAATTGTGTCTTCATGCTTGTGTAATTATCTACTCGTGTAGTATACTAACAGATGAGCTATAACTCTTTCTTAATGGCCAAGTCGATATTCCGCAAACACTCTTATTTGCTGTTAATCGCCGGATTATATCTGGAACCGTTGCCGAAATTGATTTATTTAGAGCGAAGATGAAAATCACAAGGCGTGCCAAAAATTTGCAAACAGAGGGTGCAAACTGTGGAAAAATTCGTATTTTTGTATAATCTATATTTGTACAAAAGTTACAGATAGTTTCTAAAGTACTGTTTATTCAACTGTTGTGCATATAATTATTAATTTTCGTTCGTGTTACTCACCTCAAACGGACCAAAATCCACTCTACACAGAGGACACTTGATGATTGTTTCTCCAGAAGACTTCTGATGTTCAGCCCAAACCTTCATGCACTTAATGTGAACACTGTTGCCACAACCATACCTGACAAAAATATTCACAACACGGTAGTTACTAAACTCTTTGAGTAGTGAAATGAAAATTTGAATAGTGTGCGAATAGTGGAGGTCTTTGGCTGCCAATATATGGGATTATAAGAGCCCGGTATCCCAGGAAATCCGCCCCAAATTCTCCCCCTGAGGGAGGGCGAAATTCCTAGGAATATCTCCCCCTTTAGGAATTTCGCCCTCCCATAACTTGGAATTGCAAATTCCATTACTCCCTTGCAAGAGCACACAAGTTTAGTTTTTCCAACTAAACTATTTAATTAAAATGCGTTTTTACACGAAATAGTTTATGTTTAAAAGCTCTTCTTGATCTTGTAAAATAATTAACCGATGCTAGTATAGGTACGTCAGGAGTAATTAGGGAACACAGCTATATAAACCGAACACTTCATCATATCAAGTATTTCACAAGTAGAAATTATTCCTGCTTGTAAAAAATATCACAATTTGTTATGGACGATAACGACCTCATTATATAATAAAGACACTCTATAAAAGACACTCTATAAAAGATTCCAATGCATTTTTTGCGAACCATTGTTTTATGTTAAAATGCAATCACCGTGCGACAACAATTGTTAACGTTGCTAGTGTTGAAAACGCTTAAAAGCCGACCTGTCAACCTTTAGGCATGAGTATTTATGCCAAAATATTTCTTCACAACCGTCTTGGCTTGTTCTGTTTTATAGATAGAAATTTGGAGGGGGAGGGCGAAAATTCTAAACTTCGCCCCCCCCCTTCACATGGGGGGGGGCGAATTTCCTGAGGAAGGTACAGGGAGCTTACCCCGGATCTTACTGTAACATTACATACATGTATATATGATTACTATAATATTATTTTCTCTCGTAGGCTTTGCACGCGTTATCCCGTAACATGCAAAACCCGCGCAAAATACAGGGCCTCTATCTGCTCTTCAACACTGAATTGTATATTTCCAAATGTAATCATATATATAATGTCATAATAAGACTCGCGATGGACTCCCTGTGACGAAGGGGGGATTTCAGGCCTTAAAATATCTTTTACAGGGTCGTCTGACAAAATGTCCGGTGACGTTGAGTTTGGGTCGGACATATGTCCGATGACCTTCAGTTCAGGTTTGACTCGGAAATAAGTCTGTATGACACAAATGAATAAATGGTAAATATTGTAAAGATATTAAATAATTTGTTTTTTTCATACTTATTTCCAAGCCAGAATTAATTTGCTTGCCAGAACAGCAGTGTTAAAAAAGACGTCGACAACATTAAGCCCGTTTTCCACTTCACCATTTCGCTCGCCGCCCCGCGCTCGACTACGTTAAAACAACATTTCCAGTTCACCTTTTATACAATAGTACTCTGATTTTCCATTTAACATACAAGCCTCTAGTCCTGGGCCAGGGTACATTTTGATTTACGTCGGACAAAGCTACAGTTCGGTCGGACACCAATTCACTTGGGTCGGACAAACAGTAAACCTCAGTTTCACTTTGGTCGGACAGAATGTCCAGTGGTTTCCTCTCTACGTCGGACAATTTCACGAATGGGTCGGACAATGTCCGTGACCGACCGATATTTTAAGGCCTGCGGGGATTTTCGTGTGACAGGAAGTACACTTTAGGTATTTTAGACCTTTAACTCAAATTCATGAAATTGACTCTGAAACACTGTGATTAAAGGTCCTGGTTAAACTAAAAATAAGATTTTTTTGATTACTCCTGGCTATATTTCTAGGTTACTTTGACGATCTATAAAAACGGTTACCCAGGTTACCCCTACAACACTTTCTGGTTGAATTAATGAGACTATGCTAGGTGGATAAACGACTAATGCAACTAGGGACTTGGTTATTAAAATTCATTCTGAATAGAATTTCCACTTTATTTTTTGAACCCTATCAGTTCTGGGCTGTATCCGTTATTGTTTAACAGAAGGACGGAAACCACATGCATGTAATGGGCCCAAAGGAAGTCAGCTTGGCGAGTGCCTGCAACCGCAGGCACCCTGCCGACACCATTTGAACTTATAGTGGAATGGTCTCAAAATATTTTGTGTAATATGACCGGGTGAAATTTTCTAGCAGGGCCAAGCTAACAGTTGTTATTGTGTCAGTAGTTATTTTATTTAATTGGACCTTTTTGCAAGCACGTTTTCAAAAAGGTCTTTCTTCAGTTGACTTTCATGAAATTTGGATTACACTATGGCGTCAGATTAATTCGAACATGTAGTTAGAAACACATGGTGTACACCAGCATTACTTAGTTTGCTAATAATCATGGTCGTTTTTTAACGCTTCAGTCATGTTGCTATAACGTATAACGTATAACGTATAACTTGAAACACGACACCAACAAACCCCCCAAAACCAGTTCTCGTGTGCATTTCTGTGTGCACTGTAATGCTCAATTTCACCTAATATTTTTCTTTAATTAAACAATAACATTCTCCAACAAAGATAAAAATACAAAATATTTGTAGGAAATACCTACTACAAAATATATTGTTTTTTTTGTATTGTATATTTGAAACCTTTTAAGTGCTGCACGGAAGAGTCCATTTTGGTTAGAATGCCAGACACCAGTTACACCATTGCTGAGTGCTGGGCACTGCCCACTGTAGGTAGAACACAGGGAAAAAGCAATCTTCAATAACTTTACATACATGCAGCACTTACTTGCAGTAAGTTGTAGGTTGTGTCTGTTCAAATAAATCTTCTTGACAAATCGGACAGACGTCGTCTTCGGTAATTTCTTTTTTAGACAACTTTTCTCTTGAATCTGATTCTCCATCTGTCTTACGAGTCGTGGGTTTGCTTCCCCCTGTGTTTGTAAACAAGCCACGAACTACTTCACCAATTTCTCTTTCAACCAAACCTAGTTGATAAACAACTAAAAGGAAATAGAAATATCAAAATTAGTCATGCAGTGCGTTTAAAAGATGTTATATACAGTTTATTATACATATAAATAGTCACATCGTTTTTTATTAGATCAGCCGAACTATGGAACAGTCTGCCCTCATACCTTAAAGTCTACTACTCGTTACCTGCATTCAAGTCTACCCTAATTAACTTGTACATTACAAAGTTATCAAAATACAGTCCTCCTGGTTGTTCAGCTAATTATAATCAGTCTTGAACTTCTTTTTGTCATGTTAGTCGTTTCCAAATATGTGTATGCGTATATAAATGTATACAAAAGTATAATGTATATATTGTTGAGTAAAGACAAATAGTATATTGTTATTTGTGTATATTGTAAGTGGTTAGGTTTCAAGTGGGACGAAAGTCCTGTTCCGTTCTCCTGTCACATATAACTTGTTTTGTCATCTTTTTTTGTATGGTGACAAATTCAATAAATAAAATAAATAAATGCTACATAAGGCAAGCTCTAGGTTATATATTCTCAGAGTATGTAAATACTTTGGATATTCGATGGATGATCTTACTATCCTATTTAATAGTTTAATAATGTCAGTGTTTCTTTATGCCATAGAAGTATGCGCTTGTGCGCATAAGGATAAGTACATCAAACGTATAGATAAATTCTGTCGTCGTGCAGTAAGATTTGGCTATATGGAAAATTGCATATCTATCTTTGACGTAATAGAGCAAAGAGATAAAGTTATGTGGAATAAAATCATATCAAATGAGAGACACTGCTTGTACGATCTATTGTCCGAAAACGGACGAGAAAACTACGTGAAAGAGAACATGATTTTATACGAAAGTTCACACTGAACGGTTTAAGCGGTGTTTTATTAATAGATGTCTTTTTAAATTACCATAATTATTGTATATACATTTTATGCTGTTTTAAACTCATGTAAACTTGCACGTCTGTATGCAAAGTATTCAATAAAGGCTTAATAATAAATAAATAAATAAGTTATTACGATAATGTGCAGATACGATTAGAACCCCGCCCTTGCCACTTAGTTAAGCCTGCTACTACAGGTTGAGGGTAGGGTATTCTGGTTGACAGTTACGCAGTAATATTACGTCACGCTAAGAGTCACGCGATTTTGGGTGGCAAATATAGTGCATGGCAGATTGGTATAGACACGATGAATTCACCCGAAGATATTTTAGCATGTTAAATAAAAGCGATCAACTGAAGCTCTACGGATGTAAACCAGCGTAATTAACGCCGTATTTAGCTTTAAACATTTGCAACCTAAAATAATTACGTCGAATTATGTGTCGAGACGTCACTGGCAAGAGCTGAATTAGCTAGGATGGGTAAATATCTCGCATTCACTTGATCTGTTTAAAACTCATGTAAAAATAATTGTATAGTTGGTTTTTTCTTGTGCTTCGAGAGCTTTTCACAGAGTCCTTTGGGTTTCCTCGTTCATCACAAACTATGACTGTCTTTGTCGCGTACTTGTATCATGAACACCTGTGACCTGGCTTGGGTGATTTCGGCAACCACCACTCCGTGTAAACGACCAATTAATCAATTGTTATCACGGTGGAATACTATAATGACCAATAATGACTCTCTCATTTTGAGGAAAATCATCACTGGAAAAATAAAACGTTTCCTTTTCTTGTTTTTATGCTCAGTATCTCTATAATGTTGCGAGTGCGATCCAGTGTGAATTACCATTGGATTAGGATTCCATAAAGGCGGCCCCGTTATTTTCGGATTTAGCAGCCCTTGGGGAGCGCTACATTTAGTTGCTTCAAAAATGCTAACTAGAAATATAAGGAGGCACAGTTTTTCAACAAGTTAAAGCAAACGTTCACCACATTAGTTTTTTTTTATACAAACCCGAATAAGACATCAAGGTTCTAGTTTCATATTAATCTGACACTGCAATCGAGCAACGAAAAATTCATTGGCTCGAGCGGGATTTGAACTCGCATCTTCGGGTATCTAGACCGCCGCTCTACCTATTGAGCTATCGAGTCAACAGGGATTGGTAGCGAGTCTTATCCAATTTAAGTGCACGAAATATTTTCGTGACGACTTAACGCTTGTCTTTGAGGACGCGCAGTGTTTCAATTCTATTTCCGAACCATCCTCAGAGATAGGAAAACTAGTTTCATATTAATCTGACACTGCAATCGAGCAACGAAAAATTCGTTGGCTCGAGCGGGATTTGAACTCGCATCTTCGGGTATCTAGACCGCCGCTCTACCTATTGAGCTATTGAGTCCTCAAAGACAAGCGTTAAGTCGTCACGAAAATATTTCGTGCACTTAAATTGGATAAGACTCGCTACCAATCCCTGTTAGCTCAATAGGTAGAGCGGCGGTCTAGATACCCGAAGATGCGAGTTCAAATCCCGCTCGAGCCAACGAATTTTTCGTTGCTCGATTGCAGTGTAGTACCAGGATCATCTTTGTTTAATTATTTAATTGTTTTCCAGTTCCAACAAGGTTTGTGAATTTCCCGCGCAATACCACCGTGAACGAGAGTGACGTAGCGGAAGTCACGTGTGGTGGCTATGGTAACCCTGTTCCTGACATCACGTGGTCATTGAACGGACATATGCTGACCAATAGCAGCAGAGTAACTGTCATTGGTGGAAATCTGCTGATAAGGAATGTTAGAAGAAATGATACCGGAATGTACTCTTGTACTGTTGAGAATTTTTTGAGAAGCCAAACATCTTCAGCTTATTTAACTGTTCAAGGTAAAATGTTTTATAAATGTTATTTAAATTAATCAAAAATCAGTTGTATTTTAGTAGTTTGTCAAGTCACATGTGGATTTTAAAATCTCAGATTATTTTAAAATATTCTCTTTCTTTCTTTTATATTTCCCAGTCTCTCCAACGATTCACGAAGTCCTCGGCCCATCTCGGGTGCAATGGAAGCAGAATATTTTATTTTCCTGCAAACTAGATGGAGTCCCCACCCCCCGTGTTATCTGGTTTAAGGACATGAGCAAAATCCCATACACCTCAAGGATATATGCGCGAGGGAGTGAGTTACATATCATATCCTCGGGAAACGATGATACTGGAAATTATACTTGTGAAGCATCTAATGTAGTTGGTTCAACTAAAATGACGAGACAACTTATTGTTGAAGGTGGGTAAAATTAAACTAAACTAAATATCTAATTTGTGCTGAATAGTTCTGTCAGTACCAGCCCTCCAAACCAATGGCGACCTAAATCTGACCCAGGTTGGCACCTCTCGGCATTTTTTACATCGGATACTATTTCCAGCATTAGTTGTACCCAGATCCTCCACAACCACTTATGGAGACAGGGCCTTTTCCATCGCAGCCCCAAAACTATGGAACAGTTTGCCAGTTAATTTAAGAGAATCTAACTCAATCAACTTGTTCAAATCTAAAGTTAAGACACACCTCTTTCAAGAGGCAGTTTTATAGACTTTTATACTTCGTAATTCAATGGTCTTTTCCCCTTATAACTAAAATTTTGATCTAGACAAGTCTAGACAAAAATTTTATCACAGCTTGAAAGCGCATCACAAAATTAGTAATATTCCAAAGTTTCGTTGCGAAATGTTGTAAAATGCGGATAATATAGCCTTGCGAAATTTGCAATTTTCAGTCATTTTGTATTACAAACGGGAAATTGATGCCCCGACACCCGATTGGGCTGTCAATTTCCCATGCGTAATACAACATGACTGAAAAACGGCAAACTTCGCAAGGCTATATTATCCGCATTTTACAACATTTCGCAACGAAACTTTGGAATATTACTAATTGTCGTGAAGATAACTGTACTGAGAAGAACTGGATTGAGGCCAAACGTTGACAGGTTGGCATTTAGTCGTCTTTGCCGAGTGCCGACCTCGTTTTCGAGGGTCCTAGTGATCCAGTAAGGACGATCCCTTAGCACGATCCAGTAAGAGCCACCAGAGCCATAACAGAATAGTAGAAGTCAGAATTGAATCTCTCTGGATCACCAATTATTCATCTGCATTTATTTTCTGATTTTTCCCAACCATCTAGTTCCTCCCAATGAGCCGTTGAATTTAAAAATCAGAGAGATTACTTCAACATCTCTTCAAATACTCTGGCATCCTGGCTTCAATGGATATAGTCCTATCACTTCGTACAAGTTAGAAATTCGTAGAAACTCTACTCCTGTCTGGAGCACAGTTTCAGAGCGGATAAAGTCAGAGAATTACACTGTGGACTATTTGAAACCTTATACAGTGTATCATCTCAGAGTGCTTGCTGAAAATAAGATCGGATGGAGTCGACCCAGTGAGAGAGTTTGGAATCGTACGGGAGAAGACTGTAAGTATAGATTAAACGTGATTAATTTCCCAATCAGTGAAATTGATCCGCACATGAATCGCTGAACAGAAAAGATTGCCCTTACGCTAATCTATTTATTGTTACCATTTTAGCTCCATCCAGCCCAACTGGTCTCCAATGCCAGACAATCAATTCCAGTACGATATTCCTAACCTGGAACAAACCATCTCTACCCAATGGTAAACTTCGAAAATACAATATCCAATACAGTAACCAAAGCAACCACGCTGACGTCAGCACAGCATCAATGACCCGCTATATCCGCGGACTACAGCCATTCACGTGGTACACATTTCGTATACAAGCCGCCACTGGAGGAAATCCTGTGTTGTTGTGGGGGAATTATTCTTCCTACGTGAGCTGTCGATCTGGGCAAGCAGGTATTTCGAGGGTCTGAGTGTACGTTAAGACGCTAATGGGGTGGGAAGGCCCCGGTAATTCTCTCACAAACTTTAAAGTAATGCTTAATCTATAGGGTCATCTGGAGAAAAACTGTAACAGTAATGCATAAATTGTCTCGAAAATTTTTTTTCGTCTTTGGTTTTTGTTGATGGAGATTTCGAACGAAACTATAAACATGTTTTAGACCTAAACAGGGAGCAGTTGCGAAAAATGCAACCACAGGACCTATGGCAGGAATCACTGAGCTGTACCACAAGAGCCCTGTACCACAAGAGCCCAGAAAGCCCTGCGATCACTGAGCTGTACCACAAGAGCTAAGGGGTCACTCATTATTTATGGCCGGGGGGGGGGGGTGAAGAGAAAATGGGTGGGTAAACAAAATTTTATGGGTGGAAATGGGTGGGTTGAATAAAAATGCACCAAGCCAAAGGGTGGGTAAAGTAAAAATCATTAAGTCAGAAAATACTAAAATATCAATTCAAGATATTATTTGTTTTATTAAGAACAAATAAATATCATTTACTGATATCGATTTGCAAAGTATTCCATTTGAACCTGCCCGATAACAGTCATGAAAAAGTTACAGAGTTCATATATACTTGTTGGCTTTTTTGCCCTCTCAAAAACTGAAATAAGTCAATTTAGCTTTTAAATAAGTAAATTGACAAATTGCCCGTTCAGTTTTTCTGTGGATTAGGTTTGTGGAAGGATATATAATGTGGAAGGGTTTATAACAAGATTAAATTAATTTTAAAACTCTTTCATTTTCGTTTTAAAACTTTCGCTTTGTTCATAGTACTAACTTTTATAAAAAAGATAGAATAGAATAAATTTTAGAAATTGGATTTAGATGTTTCTTCTATTTTTTTCAGCGCCAATAGATGCCCCAAGGAACTTGATGGTGCAGTCATCAGGACCTCATTCTATCTGGGCCAGATGGCAGGTATATAAAACTTACGAAATTTTTGTAGCTGTTACGGTTAACATGCATGTATGTGGGTATTAATGCTTGTTTCAGTTTACGAAAGCATGGAATAGAACAAAGGTAACTATAAGCATTAAACTGAATTAAATCAGCTGCACTAGCGAACAACGCTTATACTGTACATAATTCGATGTACATATTACTTTCTAGAAAATTCCCATTGGGTCTGAAAATGGCATTGTCATTGGTTATTATCTCCAGTACAAGACCCCGTGGGATGTAAATTATACACGTATATTCATCGCTGGGAATGATACATTGCAATACAATATAACTGGGCTGTTTCCATGGACTAACTATACAGTTCAGATTGCCGCCATCACAGTGGCACTGGGACCATGGACGTTGCTAAGGGCATCGGAGACAGACGAGAGTGGTAAGTAGGGATATGTTAGGATAGTGGCAAATTACTCCCTTGGTTTCACTACATTTCTTTCATTAGGTTTCCCCGTAGTAACACTGGATCAACAAGAGATGATTCTTACTGAACCTCTAGGAAGAACAGTTTAGAACTGATCAGAGCTATCCAGTATAAATAAAGTTAGTTTTAGTTTAGGTTTCCTCCTGTACGTAGTAACACTGGACAATAAGGGATGACTCTTACGGGAACTCTAGGGAGAACAGTATATAACTGTATAAATAATATTTTACAGTTCCATCCGGACAGCCAAGTAATGTCGTTGTTAAAGCAATCACTTCGAACAGTCTATCAGTCTGCTGGAACCCACCACCGTTGGAAAATCAAAATGGTGAAATACGTGGTTACATGGTGTTATATGGTGTGGCAGACTCTACTGGAGTAAGCTGGAATCTCACTACAAATGAGACGAGCGTAGAGCTATCTGGGTTGATGATATTTACCAGTTATATGGTGAGAGTGAGGGCATTCACTGATGTTGGGTTTGGACCGTATAGTGATGAAGTTGTGAATAAAACTTTAGAAAGTTGTAAGTATTTGTTAATTTATTGATGTTGCAAGCAAGTATATCATGTTTAACAATGTTATACGGTGATACACCGATGGCGAAACTAGCCATAGCAACCGGGCATGCCATGGTAATAAACCTGCATTTAAATAGGTTTATAAAGACATTTCTGTTGCTATGGCTAGCTTCGCCACTGTGCAGTAAACTGCTGTATTGACACTGGACCTATAAGGGATGAACTATACTTAACGTCTAATGAGAATATCTTGGAACTGATAGAGTTATCCAGTGGCATATACGTTCAGTTAAACAAAACTGATTGAGCTATCCAATATAATATATATATATAAGTTTAGCTCTTCAGATTTGTTCCCTGGTAGAACATGAATAAGCCAAACTTTTAGCAACCCAGATATACGCTTAATTGTGAAGAGATTGTCCGTCAAACCTCTGGGCTGCTAACTTGTATGAGCGAAACCATTCTCGTCCCCAGAGCCATTTTACTCGGTCACTCGTTGAAAATTAGGCTCTGGTAGATGATTACTAAAGGAGAAATCTGATTGGCTTCTCAGAGAACTGCTATTTCCCAGACGTTTTCTCTGGGCAAAATTATTCTATCGAAATATGTCAACACAAACACTTCATTTCTTCGTGGGTTCTGAAGCATCCCAATTCGGAAATATGTGCTTTAGAAACTACTGCAAGTTTTCTTGCACTTCCGGTTCTGTGTTCCATGCCTATGGAAACCTATTATTTATTTATGTAAAATATATAAACAGGGTTCGTGTACAAAACTTGAAAGTCCTTGAATGTCCTTGAATTTGAAAACAAAAATTCAAGGCCTTGAATGTCCTTGAATTTGTAAAGAAGTGCTTGAAAGTCCCTTAAATTTTTCTTGCTTTTGTTCTTCGATATTTTCTGAAATTGTTTGACATTCAAAACGGACATTTTGTTGGATTGATTTTGCATGTTCATATCTGACAAAGCTGTTTGAAACTCATTAAAGTTGCGTTTTGAACAATTCAACGTCAGATTTACTGATTTCTAACCCCTTTTCTTCAGTATTTAGTCCTGAATTTGCTGATACATGGCCTTGAATGTCCTTGAAAAGTCCTTGAATTTGACTCTTCCTGACATGTACGAACCCTGTATAAATATTTAAATATTTATTAATCATTTTTTTTTTTTTTCTGTGTTGGTGGTACTCAGGTGAATATGATATTTGTGGTGTTACACAGAAAAAAAAAATCATATTACTAGAATACATTGGTATTGAAGGAACTAGATTCTGTTCCAAAATATCACTTACTCGAACCGTCCTGACCGCGTAGCTCAGTTGGAAGAGCATTGGGCTAGTATTCCAAAGGTCGTAGGTTCGAATCCCACCGTG